TGTGGAAATTTTTATATGGACAGGATATTGGAAACATTAAGGGAAGTTATCATTACCTTTCTTAATTGTTATAATATTGGGATTATGTAAGTTTACCTTTTTTTTAGAAATGCATGTTAAAGTACTTAGCATTGTATTATATATTTGTAATAAAAATAACTAGAAAAGGCAAATATAGTAAAATGTTGAGAATGTCTACCTCTCGAAACAAGCAGTGGAACACTGTTCTGAGGGATTTTGGGCAGGAGGCAGCATAGAAACAGGACATCACTGGCTAGGAGGTCGGAGATTTTCGTATAAGGCAGGTCCTATTTTCTAGGTTAAAGTTAAGCTAGTTAAAGCTGAGTTGGAGGATTGTGATTGATGTATGTTAAATTTCCTCGACTGTGATGTGTTCCATAAGTGCAGGCCAACTTAGGTTTAGATTTGCAATGTGGGCCCCCATTTTGTGGGTCCTGATAGACAATTAACTTTATCATATATAAACAGCTTTTGTAAATAAACTGTAAAATGTAACAAATGCTGGAAAATGGAGACTATGATTAACATAATAGAATAGGATCTGTAATCCTCAGAGTTTATTTCTGAGGAAAAAAGAAAAAGCAATAACTGAAAGTACACATAACTCAAATAAGGAAATGATTATCATGCAAATTATGCATCTCCTAGGGATGAACTTGCTTAAAATTTGTGTGCACACTCCTGAAATTAGAACCAAATTAGAAACCTCTGCTTATACTTGTATATAAATACACACACGCACACTTTTCTTGGTTGATATTTTGTAACAGATTATTTTATATGGCAATGATAAAATGTGGTTAAGTTTTGATTAGCAAGAAGAAAGGATTAATGTTATCAGTAAGTGCAATTTTGTGAATCAAGTTATAAAACTTTAATCTGTTGACACTTCAGAAGCTTTAATAAGTAGTATTTTCCTAGATGAAAATAATAAAATTAAAGTTCCAATCAGAATTCTAAAAAAGTTTTTTATGTGTGTTTTTCTCTTTGACATTTGTATTTTTTGTTTGTTAAACCTAAAGGAAAAATTGTGACTTTCATCACAATAAAAATATTTAGTAATGATTAGAAAATAATTGAAAATGCATAACAATGTGTCCATATTAACATGTATGCTACTGCTAAAATATTTAACAACTGATCCTTGTGCAATAAAAGTTCAGGTCCAGGAAGAAAAGAAAGTGAGAACATATTGTGTATCAGAGCTGGTTTCAATAGTGGAAAAAGGACATTCAGTAACCTCGTTAGAACAATGAGGTAGGTGCCAGAACAAAGTAAGTCCATATCCGTGGCATTCATATTACAATAAATAACTTCCATAGGGATTCAAGCTATAAACACTTAAAAGACAATTTTAAAGTTGTTTATTTTTAAATCAGTTATTTATTTATTTTTTATTTGGTTGTGCCAGGTATTATTTGTGGCACGCAGGATCTTTGTTGCGGCATGCAAGATCTATTTCCCTAACCAGGAATCAAACTCGGACCCGCTTCATTGGGAGCGTGGAGTCTTAACCACTGGACCACCAGGGAAGTCCCAATTTTGAAGTTTTAAAATTTAAATTCTAAATTTCTTAAGTTCTTAAGGAATACAAACATTTTAAAAATATAAGGCCTTTCAGCTCCTTTCCTTGGAAACGCTTGCCCTTCACTCCTATCCCATGCCTAGGACACTGCGCTAGGCTTGGGAACACAGCCTTCATGTTCTGAGAGAGGCCACAGACATGCTCCGTGCTCCACCTCTTCCGAGTCCAGTGCTACCAGTGTAGATGCAGCACCACTACAGTTACTAATAAATATTTGCAGAAGAATACTTTGAGGCTGTAAAACATTCTGTGTCTCCTTATAGTATCACCCACCCAATTTAGCATTCATCTGTGGATCTTGCCTGCATCAGTGATTACTCTGGTGTTCTAATGGTGGTTTTCAATTTCTGTCTTCCTTTGAGAAAGTATAAAGCAGCCTCTGACATTAGGGAACTGGCCTGACACTTAGAGCCTGGCTGTCCATTAAAGCTGTCTTGGTGCTCAGAGCTAAACAGAGCTGTTTTCCTGTTGGACATAATCTCACTGAACACCAAGTGGACAGGGTCATTTTGTGACTATGATGATGTAAGACAAGCAAGACCAGTTTATAATTTTGCATAAGTAGGGACAAAAACAAGGTTGTTCTGCTACTCTCAAAATTAGAAATATTCCTCTCTCAGCTGATATGAGTGACTGCTGCCTTTTTTTTAACAACACCCAATCCAGACTAAATTCAGCTGCCTTTGAACCTCTGCAAAATGAAATAACCAAAGCTCAAATCCAATAATTCCTTCCTAATATCCTTTTACTAAAACAGTTTATGGTTCCCATATGGTGTGCACTCTGCCTCATTGCAATGACTATTAAAGTCCAAATTGTTCAACTACCAGTATGTTGCTGGTGATATTTGGCTGAAGTACATTAACGTCTTCTACTGTTATTAATTGGACTTCTGTAAGGAGGATTTGTCCTTTCTCCCAATTTATTTATTCAACCATTTGTTTTTATCTGTATAGACAGGTGAAGATTTATGTCATTCCTTGGGCTATAATCCGTTACTATATTTTTGGCTAAATATGTTCTAGCTCTTGCCATTGGGAGATCCTTCAGCTTGCTCTGTGTCCTTTTTCCTCTTTTTTTAATAGGTTTTTTAAATTATTATTTTTTAAAATTATTTTATTTATTTATTTTTGGCTGCGTTGGGTCTTCGTTGCTGCGTGCAGGCTTTCTCTACTTTCGGCGAGTGCGGGCTACTCTTCGTTGCGGTACGCAGGCTTCTCATTGCGGTGGCTTCTCTTGTTGCGGAGCATGGGCTCTAGGCGCGCAGGCTTCAGTAGTTGTGGCACGTGGGTTCTAGGCGCGCGGGCTTCAGTAGTTGTGGCACGCGGGCTTCAGCAGTTGTGGCACACGGGCTTAGTTGCTCTGCGGCATGTGGGATCTTTCCGGATCAGGACACGAACCCGCATCCCCTGCATTGGCAGGCGGATTCTAAACAACTGCGCCACCAGGGAAGCCCTAGGCTTTGTTTTTTAGAGCAGTGTTAGGTTCACAGCAAAAATGAGAGGAAAGTACAGAGAGTTCCTATATACTTCCTGCCCCTTCAGACATACAGCCTTCTGCACTATGAACATCCTGCACCAGAGCCATGCATTTGTTACACTCAATGAACCTGCATTGATATATCATTATTACCCAAATCCATAGTTTGTATTAGAGTATACTCTTGGTGTTATACATTCTGTGGGTTTTAACAATGTAGCCACCATTATAGTATCATACAGAATAGTTTCACTGCCTTAAAAATCCTTTGTGCTTTGCCTGTTCATCCGTCCCTCCCCTCTAACCTCTGGTAACCATTGATGTTTTACTGTTCCCATAGTTTTGACTTTCTCATAATGTCATTATAGTTTGCATCATACAGTATGTAGCTTTTTCAGATTGACATTTTTGATTTAGTAATATGCATTTACTAATTCATGTCTTTTAATGGCTTGATAGCTCATTTATTTTTGATACTTAATAATATTCTATTGTCTAGCTGTACCCCAGTTTATTTACCAATTAACCTACTGAATGTCATCTTGGTTATTTCCAAGCTCTGGAAATTATAAATAAAGCTGCTATAAACATCCATGTGCAAGTTTTTTTGTGGACATGTTTTCAACTCCTTTGAGTGTTTACCAAGGAGGATGATTGCCAGATCATATGTATGAGTATGTATAGTTGTGTATGAAATTGCCAACCTAACTTCCAAGTGGCTGAACCATTTTGCATTCTTACCAGCAGTGAATGAGAATTCTCTTCAGCATTTGGTGTTGTCAGTGTCTTTGATTTTGGCCATTTTAATGGGTGTATCTCATTGTTTTTGTTTGCAATTCCCTAATGACATATGATGTTGAGCATCTTTTCATATGCTTCTCTTTGGTGAGTTGTCTATTCAGATCTGCCCATTGTTTAATTGGGTTGTTTGTCTTCTTATTGTTTAGTTTTAAGAGTTCTTTATATATTTTGGATAACAGTCCTTTATCAGATATGTCTCTTGCAAATAATTTTTCCTAGGCTGTGTCTTGTCTCCTCATCCTCTTGTCAATGCCTTTTGTAGAGCAGAAACTTTTAATTTTAATGAAGTGCAGCTTATCAATTATTTCTTGCATGGATCATGTATTTGGTTTTATATCTAAAAAGTCATTACCAAACCCAGGATCATCTAGATTTTTTTCCTATGTTATCTTCTATGAGTTTTATAGTTTTGCACTTTACATTTAGGTTTATGATTCATTTAAATTTAATATTTGTAAAGGATGTAATGTCCAGATAAATTTTGTTTTGCATGTGGACATCCCATTATTTCAGCATCATTTATTGAAAAATCTGTCATTTCTCCATTGTGTTACTTTTGCTCCTTTGTCAAAGATTAGTTGACTGTAGTTGTGTTGGTCATTGCTGGGCTCTATATCCTGGTGCATTGATCTTTCAGTCTGTTCTTTCACCAATACCACATTGTCTTGATTACTATAGCTTTATAGTAAGTCTTGAAGTTGGGTAACATCAGCCCTCTGACCTGATTCTTCTCTTCCAATACTGTGTTGGCTAGTCTGGGTCTTTTGCCTCTCTGTAAATTCTAGAATCAGTTTGTTTATATCCACAAAATAACTAGTGATTTTTTTAATTGGGATTGCATTGAATCTATAGATCAAATTGGGAAGA